AATTCCTCTGACCCAATTAGTATAGATCTCAAGGTATGTCTATCCAAGATCCAAGAAGGTTAGTTCCACCATTCTGGCATTTTTAATTACTGTGTGTCTTGCAGATAAATCTTGGGTAATGACCAGTTGGTCTCAAATAAACCTTATCTAGAGATATTTTTCTTGATCTATTATGTATAATTTTTTTAAAAAGGCAGATATTGCCAGGCTTGGTGACACATGCCTTTAATCCCAGCACTTGGGAGGCAGAGGCAGGAGGATCTCTGTGAGTTCAAGGCCAGCCTGGCCTACATAGTAAGTTCCAGGACAGCTGGGGCTATAGGGAGACCCTGTCTCAAAAAGACCAAAAAAAAAAAAAAAAAAGGCAGATATTGGCACATTTGTTACAATCAAATATGAAACATACTTCCTTAAATTTTGGTGACTTTCACAAACATACATTTATTCCTACATATGCCTTTCAAAGATGCATTATACAAGTATAACTGTATCTTTGCAGCAATAATAAAGCTTTGACACTGACCCAGAAAAGATACAAAAGAATTCTAAAAGGAATGATATCTAGTTAATAAGAGACATTTAGATACTACTGACAAGCAAGATAAGATAAAAAAAAAAGATGCATCAATTTCACTGCAAGTCTGAATTAACTCTAGACAAGAAGAATGATTAATTACCAAAATGTTAACCCATTGAAAAGGCTTCTTCTAGAGTGACAGAAAGCTGATGTTCCCTGAGCCAGGACTGAAGAAAGATGGCAGACAGATTAGATGGATGGATGGATAGATAGATAGATAGATAGATAGATAGATAGATGGATGATAGATTGATTGATGATAGATAACAGAAAAATAGAAGGGTGATATAAGATGTATTGACAGATAGATGGTAGATAATTGATCATTTATAGGTAATAGATTATAGATAGACTATAGCTATAGATAGATAATAGCTACCTAGGTGTGGCTGGGTGATAGATTATAGATAGATAATAGATAGATGACAGATTGACAGATGATAGACTGAAAGCTCATAGTTTAAATGTCGATAACACTGGAGTAAAATTACTATAGGAAAAGCATAAGTTGATATCCACCATTCCAAACCGTTCCTTTATCCACCTCTATCTGCTCCATTGGCAATTAATTTGTTAAAAATTAAAATTTTATTTTAAAAATTCCTTAAGCATATGTTTATATGTGACCTTAAGAAACCTCATGTTTTCCTTTCAGTAATCAATTCCCACTTCTGTGAGTTCTATTCTTCCACTTTCTAAATTTGAATCTTTCCCCCCGTTTTATTTACTTTTACTTTTTAAATGATGTGTGTGTGTGTGTGTGTGTGTGTGTGTGTGTGTGTGTGTAAATGTAAATGACCCCAGAGGCCAGAAGAAGATAGCAGATCATCTGGAGTGAGAGTTACAGGTGGTTACTGGTTGCCTGTGGGGTGCTGAGAAATGAACTCAGGTCCTTTGCAAGATTAGTAAGTGCTCTTAAGCACTTGAGTCATCTCTCTGGCCCCTGGTTTTTCATTTTTATATCAAGAAGCCAAAAGTTCAGGTCAATGACACTGCTAGACAAAAGCTAGGAAAAAATTCCATATGGAGCCAAATCAGAAATTAGAGAGTATGCCTTGAAAACCCTCTGATGTAAGAAAATCCAGACCTGTACAATTTATGTGATTTGTTAGATTCTGTCTTAAAGGGAAATTTGAAACAAACTAAACAACTTACAAATACACAATCATCTTAAAATTTCCTGATCATGTACATAAATAAAAACAAATTTAGGGGGCTGGAGAGATGGCTCAGCACTTAAGAGCATTTGATATTCTTACAGAAGACCTAGGTTCAGTTCCCAGCACCCACACTAATAACCATCTGTAACTCCAGTTTCAGGAGATCTGATGTCCTTCTGCCCTCCGTGGACATTGTACAACACGGGTTCACTTACATACATGCAGGCAAAACACCCATGTTCATAAAATAAAAATAAATAAAAATAGTAAATTTACACTAAGAAAATTGGAATTTTCAAGTAATTCATTTGTTCAGTGTTTTTAAGACAATTTCAAAAAATATTCAATATGATAAGAGAAAATGAAGTAGAGTGTAATAAGCGTTTTTAAAACTCAATTGTCCCGAACTTGGGCTGGGATAGAAATGGAAGAGAACAGCACTGTGTTTTACTGGGATATATTAACAATCAAGTGCTCCCAGGACATCCTCTGAAGCTTTCGTCATCATCTTAAGTCTTTCCACCAAACTGAAAAGGAGGGACCCTATGACTAAAGAATATATGGTAGACAGCTAACAAAATTTTATAGATCAAGGTCTAACTATTACATATTTGGTGTGCTCAAACAGTAATGTCCATATACCTGTCAGGTTCTGTTCAGTTGGCAGTACCTGGAGAAGAGTTGATGGTATTCAAACTAGGAGACCTAGGCCTTTACTCTGCCCTTTACCAGACTGCAGGCTTCCTGATGCCATCTAGTTCTTCACTGTATTGTTCTTACAGTCAAATAGGCATGTGCTTTACATGTCTTTGGTTTATTTTTATTTTTATTCTTGAGGGTTTCTGGTAATGCTACATTCGGAACATACAAAGGGTACAAAATGAATTTTTTTCCAGAATATTTCAAAGGATGGTGCCAGTCTATCATGGTCACATACTGTTACTGTAGGTCATTTTGTCTCTTAAAGTAAGACACCATATGTCCACAGTCTTGTCCTGTACTGAAACCCTCCCTAGAGGGTTCTTAGTCTCATTCATAAAAGAATTGAAGAATGGACTGAAATGGCAGAAAGCAGACAGACTTATAGAGACTTACATGAATGTGGCTGGTCAAAGGTTCTGTTGAGTTCTGCTTTACAAGGTGGGATTCCACGCAGGAAAAATTTGCTACCTCAGTAACGCATCAAGTATTCCACCCAACTCTTTAGCATAACTTAATGTGAACCTGCCTTCCTAGGGATGGTTTTATCACCAGGTGATTGACCAATGAGATTGGATAGGTGGGTCCTCCAACAGATAGACTAGGAATTTTTATAGTCTTGATCAGTTAAAATTATGGGGCTTTTTGCTACTCTAACATTCTGCCCTTTAAAGAGGTAACCCTAAAATCATTTAGGGATTAGATAAGAGCGCCCAAATACTTTTGACATTTTTGGCCTTTGAAACAGAGTATGCTGCTAAGAGGCCCAAGGAAATTTTGACTTTTAACCAAGAAACTGGCTACTTTTCTTTGGGGTCTTTTTACCCTAAATGCCTAGCTAATTCCTACCTCCTATTCCTACCTCAGCAACCCTTCAGTCATCGCTGTAAGTTCAGTAAATTCATTGGTTCTCCAGGAAAACTTTAATCAAATATTGGTTTGATACTAGAAACTTAAAGGGGATAAACATTGCTTAGTATCCCCAGGAAAAGAATTTTCACAACAGATGGAAAATTTATCTGTTAATGTTATTATGTTCCATAATTATTAAAAAAGAAAATGAGAATGTAAAAGATGTTAAAAAGATATGAAATGGAAGTATTTTCCAGAATAGACAGAAAAAAAATGAGCTGTGTTGGCTTGTTATGATATATAAAGGATGAGACAAAAATAATATATACATAATGTTAAATTTTCTAAGGTCATAGTTTAGTCAACTAG